TTCAGGAATACTACTAATACTTTGACCGTAACTGTATATTCATATTTTTTCACGTACGCAAACCTCTTCTGTAAGTTGTACAACTCTTGGACAAATAGATAAAAACAATAGAGTCGAAATCCAGAAGCCAGTAACAGTCCATCGGAATGAACTCAGAGCCAGACATAGACCGTAAACAAGTCCAGCTGTAAACAAGTGGCGAGTGACAATCGGTGATCAGTCAGATATTTCGGCAGCTGCCATAGAACACCCTACCCCTACTTGAGGCCCCCTGCTACAGTGGATCTGGTAGTTGTCACTGCCATTGTCGTCGTGTGTGTTCTAAGTCGCGGCTTTGGGCTTGGCTCCCGACACTTACACGGTAGATAAATCAAGTAAGTGGAAGTGGTTGGGGCTACGGGCTATGAGCCATAAGCCGTAAGACAATGCGAGGGCTGATCGATGGCTTCTGACCGGTGATTATCTAATGGCCCTGATCTGGCCCAACACATTAGTGTTGGCATTAGCTCATCCGGCATTTCCGCTTCTCGACACCCGGGAGTGCATTCATTACATTATGAGTCGCAATCTTTATAAATTCCCCGGATATCTCCCTCTGAGATCCCGTCGATCGCCCGATCGATCAGTATGCAAATTCAGCTTTTAATTTCGCCTTTTTGCGTCGCTCGCTTCTCCGCCTTATGAGACATTATTTTAAGTTATGTCTAATTACTGCCACAAAGCCACTGCCACAGGGCTTTGAAGGGGGCTGGTCTCTAGTGACTAACTAAAGAGAATAGAATATTATCCCCTGTGTTTTTATTAACGAGGGTAGTCTCAAAGGGTTTTTTCTTTAATCTCTCTGAACTTCAATAATAGCAAAGAAAAAGTTCAAGTCCAAAGATGAACTAAATAGAATCTATGAAAATCCATCTCCTTTTGGTAAGCATATAGGGTTAACTTTCAAAAGTAAATATCCCTAATATGACTTTTGGCTATTTAAGTTTAGCTATAATAAGGGAATGATCGCAACTTAAATTCAAATTTCTTGATTTATGAAATAGGTCTAGTAAAATTAAAATATTGTTGTTGACTTAAGAATTTCTCATTTTTGAAGAAAAAGATAAAAGTTAGCATTTTATACCCTTTTGATTAATACTTTGAAAAATTCCAGTCAAACGTTATCATTTAAAACAAGAAAGGAAGCCAAAATACTTAATTTTTCAGTTATAATAAATCGAACTTTTTTCGAATTTTTCGATCGTTTCTATGGCAACTATTTAAAATTGTAAAAACAAAAAATACCATACAACGAAAATATAATTTTTTCATTTGTTTTCCGATTGTTCCTTTGGGAGATATATTATATAGTCGTCCTATGCGGCCCGTTTCTTATACTATGGAGAGCTTTAAAACTGAGTGGCTAGTTTGCTTAGAAACGGACATGGCGTGGGTGTGATGCAGCTGCTGGGTATCAACAAGGCGACCCTGCGACCTAGACCGTTTAAATTGTTAAGTTGATTTTTTATGGGTTTCGTTAGTTTGCAATGATTAATTTTTATTTGCATATACATATGCAGAGAGAGCACTGCAATTGCTATTGAAATTGCTTTGCTTACCCCGTAGACTTTGCCGGAAAGGATATATAAGGCAGTTGGAAGGCTTACCTATGTAAAATTCCATGGGGTATTCCACGGGTCGACCCCTTCGTAAGCTTAATTTGTTTTTGCTTTACATAACACGTTTTAGCATTTCATTAAAGCAAAATTTTAGCTATGAATGCGACGGCAGCAACAAAAGCTGACAATTTCAATTGACTAACCAGGGGAGAGGTGGAGGTGTATGTGGGTGGATGCTGGCCAGAGGGGTGGTGTGGTGGAGCTATTCAACACACCCACACACGCACGCAGCTAAGCTTCTCCCACTGCAGTTGCAAAAGTGCGAACAGGCGCACAGCAACCGCAGATCCGTCGCTTGTAATCTTCGCACTCGTTTTCCTCTCGGTGTGAAATTGGTACAACTGCGTTCAAATTGGGAGCAGTGGGAACCACATTCCACTATTGCACAAGGCCGCCAGTTCGAACTTTCTAAATTCTCCTTACTTTAAAATAAGATAACACTTATAAAGTGATTAAAATCACATTATATTATAATATTTTAAAAAATATATATAAAATAATAATTTTAAAGAAAAAAGTCAAGGCTAAGAAATTAAAATTGTTTTATAAGAAGAATTGTGTAAATAAAATCGTTGAATACAAAATTCCTTTTTTTTAAATGTTGTTAGCTGTCATGTAATCTAAATTGGTTTACAGTTTTATGATCATAATAAATACCTTTTGTTCATTGATTTCAGGTTTTGAAGATTACAAAAAATGGTCAAAAAGTAAAGGTCAACCCGAAAAAACTCAATTTTTTTAAAATTTATGTATTTTAAAAAATTGATTTTACAAAATGAGAAGTTCACAATAATTTTAACAAACAATTATTGACAGTTCTATTTGCCTGGCCTCTGCTGTGTCCGTGTGTGCTTGAATATGCACCACAAAGATGTGCACTTTCTTAGGGGCACTTTTTGGCACGCTTCGGGAGTCGCGGCTGCTGCAACAATTTCCATATGCCACTGCCCCCTTCAGAACCCCCCTCCCCCAGCCAGCGCCACTTGGCGCTTTTTAATGCTCATTTTATTCCTTTATAAATTCGCTATTAGATGCCAACAGCGACGACGGCGACACAGAACTTTTCTGTGTTGGAATACTTGTATTTTCTTGAAGTTGTTGTTGCTGCCCCAGTGGGCTTTGTTGTTGCTATTGTTGCTGTGCTTGCTTCTAATGGAGAGCGCTGGCCAATCAGCGCGCGAATGACGCGATCGCCAGCGAGTAGGGGCTATGCATGATGCGAATCAGGGTCTATTTTTAGAACCCACTGTACATTCACTGGGCCCGAAGACGCACGAATCGACACGAAGCTTTCGCTTTTCGCCGCTCTTTCGGCTGTCGTCGCGTGGAAACGTGAGTGGGACAAACAAACTGTGTGCGAAGGCGATACGGAATGGCAATGGAACACAGCCGGTTGGAAGTGAGCTCTCTTTATCTCTCTCCCCCACTCTTTTCCCCTCCACATTGAGCATTTGTTATTGTTTTTGTCCGTCTTTGTAGCCGGCATTTCTTTTTGCCGGTGTTTCAACCCCACCACCCCCTAACCACTGAAGCCATTCGCTGATTAGAAACTCCTTTTGCAGCTCTCCTTCCAATTGCCCTAGTTGCTGCCTTTGCGTCTGCCATGCGCCGTCTTTTTCATGCACCGTTAGTTGTATACCGATAACCGATAACGGTAGCTTCCTTATCACGGGCCATAAGTTTATATTCTTCTTCTAGATTTTGTTCTTGGCATTTATGCAATAATTATATGTATTCATATAGGGGCCTTATCGGTGTTCCTAAGTTTGTGCAACAAAAAGGGTTTAAGTTAAACATATTTTATAAAAAAAAAGAGCTACAACTAATGTTTATATACTGGAAAAATTGGTTGCAAACTTTGCGGTTTAGATAAGATAGTTTGTTATGTCCCTTATTAAAAAATATTACAAATTAAATTGCAATGCTGAATTTTACTATGAAACTTAAACAAAAACTTTAAATATGGATATATAAAATTAATGTGGATATCAAAAATAATAAAACTATTGTTTTGGTTTTTTTACTTTTAGCAATTGATATTCTTTTAGAAGTTACAAAATTATGTAAAGGAATTTGAATATCCACAATAAAGATCGAATAAACGCACTTTAAGATACTGCAACTCAGTGGGCCGCGCATGCCGCCTAAGGCAAAACCAAAATATGATGAGAGAGAAAGAGCGAGCGAGCGAGAAGCAGGGAGCATAAAAAACATTTTCAAGGTCACTGCGCCGCTGTTGTCGTTGCTGCATTTGAAATGCGAATGCGTGTGGGTATCGGCTTATTCCAGAAGTTCCGTCCGAACGAGTGAGAAGGAGACAGTATTGAGTGCTGGAGTGGCTAGGAAGGGGATGGGTCACAAGATTCACAGCCCCAAAAAATTGACAACCTATAAGCGGATTTAAATTTTTGCACTGAAAAGCTTAGTCTTCAATCTTAATTCAGCCCCTTTCTTATGGCAATTTTCGAGCCTGCAAAACTCTATTGCTTTCTTCGTTAATGCTTTATTGCTTTTGCAGTTGACTTCGTTTCCAGCCAGAAAGCTGAAAAGCCAAAAAGCGAAGAACAGCCATAACACACATGCTCGATTTTTGGATATCTACGTTGCCGTTCCAATTCCACTTCCACCTCTACTTCCATGTGACAGTGGCGTCTCAAAAGGGGGTTCCTTAGAACTTATGTTGCTAATAATATAATGTTACATTTTTTATGAGAATTATTTGGTGTTTTTGTGTTTTTGGTTCAGTACATTTTAGAAGCCCGATCAAATAGAATGAAAAGCTGTTTTGCTCTGGTTTGGTGATTATGTGGTTAACTGGACTTTTTTTTAGATAAATTTCAGGTGTCGAAAATCCAACTTGTTTTTACCTGATCGATTGCAATGTCGGACAGATAACTACTGGCTTGCGAGAAACTGAAAAACCCCAATAGACCCCGATTTGCATATCATGTTAAAGTTCATTGATTTGCGAACCGACCAATAATAGCATGGAAAAGTTAAAGGTTTTTTAGTTCGCATTGCAAATGACTCTGTAGCGAATCTACTCCTAATCTTGATTTATTATTATCTTGATTATCATTAATTTTTGTAAATATTGACCGGTCCTTTCATGGAGTTTATGTACTTTTCCAGAAAACTGTTTTTTAATATATACCCCATACATATTTACCATGCGTATCTGACTGTAAGGACGCCCCTGGGCGATGTTTGTGGTGCGTTTGTTTATTTGTTTGGCGCGGTCCGTTGTCTCAATCGTTCCGCCGGGGGTTGAGCAGCGTCGGTAAATCGGTCGGTTGGCGGTCGGCAGTCGGCACTTTTAGTGCCTTGCGTGTACCGGACTCGAACGGAACGCCGCCGCCGCCGACTGCGCCGCTCGAACCAACTAACCCACCCCGTTCCGCTCCGCTCCACGCCCCCCTCATTCACATTCTCACTCGACCGACCACAACCACTAGCGTTCTTATTAGATTTTATGGCGGCTCCGATTTAGAACACAAACAACAACGAGGCACGGCCGCGCCTTTGGCCGTTCCATTCCGCTTTGTTTCCCGACCCTTTGCCACTCGTTTCGATTCGTTCTCGCGCCGTTAGAATCGCACGCTGCCGCTGCCGCAGCTGGCGTCGCTGCCACTGGCTGACTTATTGGCTTTAAGCGAATTTGAACGTCGCTCGAACTTTTATTCAACGTGTTGGTTCCATCGTGTAAGCAACTCTGAAACGCTACGTACATTCGTTGCGGAAACTGAAAACCGAATCAGAAAACTGTATAAAAAAAACACACACAAACCGAAAACACAAACCCTCCCCTCTCCCATAAAAAAAAACTAAGCCCCCCCAAACAAAATTCGGGATACGCAAGTGCTAATTACTATATTTATGAAATAATAAGTTTATGAATTCCCCTAAAAATCCAACATTTTTTTGAAGTTTTAAATCCACAAAGTGCTTTAAACAACAACAACAACTACCAACCAAAATGCCTTACAACAGCGTCACGCTTTAGTGTAAAAAGTGTTAGCCCCCACCCCTTTTGCTACGTACCCATTTGAAACTGAAACTGAAACCAAAGGAGACCCAAACAGGTGTCTGCCTGCCGAAAGGCCAACGAATCACACCGGAGACAATCAGCAGCCGCAGCAGCAGCAGGTGGGCCAGAGATTCTTTAGCAGGTGAGATACTTGTACTTCCGAAAATCAAACCCAACCCCGATCCATCCCAGTTCAACTGACCCTCTCCCAAGTACGTGACTTTCCGCACACGTTGCTGCACATTATCGCAATGTGACCGCGTATAAACATGCCTCCTCATATCCCCCAAACGATAATACCATCTCTCGTAACTGGGAAAGTAAAGTTCCCCCAATTCAGGGAGCAGTGGGCAAAGGTCAGGGTGCAGCTTTTCGCAACACCCATTGAGAACTCCACAAGCCCAAAGTCAATAATGCCTCGGGGAATACTGAAGTACCCCTATATCATTGTGGGTTTCGCACTTCTTCAATTTAGAAAGCGCTGCCAATCGTAGTTCTCTATCGATATACAAAGTAAGTACTTGTGGAGTTTATAGTCATTTATGGTAGAATCACTTGTTTTTCAATAAACACACTCAATGAACAAGCATTGAGTGAATATTCAAGGAATTGTAGTGATGAATGACAGATAAAGGGGTTAGATAGAGGTTTTTCGTATTATATCGCGCTGTTCATTTCCCAGCAAATGAATCGTTTTCATGCAGAATGAAAGATCGGATACATAAATATATTCGCAGATATGATTGCCAACTCATCGTCGAAGAAGGAACACAGGCACGGGGTTAACAGGTGTTTTGCTTCTTTCACTCGCTCGCTGGCTTTATTAATCAGCTGCTGCAGGCAAACACACACATACACACACGCAGGCACGACGACCACTCACAGACACTAAATGCCGCAGATACTAAATGCCATAGATACGGATTCGCAGAACACCATTGCCAATTGGATTTATGGATAATTTGGCGTAACTTTTTCGCTGTTCTATGGGTCTCTCGTCTTTCTCTCTATCTCTCTCCCTCTGTCTTGAAATGTACATTCATTAATAAATATTTTTATGTTCAACCCCGGACACTATCACAAATATCTACTGCGGACTAGCAGCAACCCTCTTTGGAATTCAGGCCTCTTGGAGGCTAAAGGACTTATCCCGAATCGTGTTGCCCGTTGCGCATTTTATCGCCAGCAAATTTATGACTGAGAATTGAGGAAAATGCCACACCCCTATCCAGGCCAACCCACCCCAACCCAACCCGCCAGCCCCCTTCACCCACGAAAGGGGTGTACAGTGTGCACAATGTACACGCTCTGTGCCCCAGAACTCTTTGCGACTGCCAGTGAATGAGCAATGAATGATGCCCATTGTTGTTGGCAGTCCACAACCACATACGCCGTAGTTACAGTAACTGTCAAAGGGGGAGGCACTTCCAGGGGCTCCAAGTGGGGGTCTAATGTTCCCAAGAAGAACAAAAAAGAAAAAAACTAAACAAAAAGGCCAAGATGTTCGGGACATGTGTGCGCACTGCGAAAAAATAACACCCATCAAATTCAATTTCTAATATTTTCTAAATCACATCTACATTTAGGAAACAAAATTGCCTGATTTTGGGAAAAATTCCTTTATCTAAAGAATAATATATATACTTTGAAAAAAAAAACTTAAAAAACAAGTACTTAAATTAAAAAACTTTTCCCCAAATCAAGGCATTTTTTTTTTTTTAAACTCTGAAAACTAAAATAGAACAAAAATAGTGTTACCATTATAATATAGTATTTATTATGATTCATTTTTTAAAACTTATCGATCATGAAATATAATTTGCGATTTTCACTCCTGTTACACCGACATTTCCAAAACAGGACTTGGAAAACTGAGCGGTTTGTTTTTTTTTAAGTGTCTGAGATCCACTTCTGTGCACATAAAGAGAGACAGCTGGAAAGACAGTCGGCTAACGCCCAAATGGCGTTTTAAGCACATAGTGCGCATTAATGAGCCCGGACTGGAGCTGAAACTCTGGGAGTTGGGCTTAGTTTATGGCCTTGACAGGCGACTCAGACCCCTCAGTCGTCGAGCAGGCAACCAACCATATAGCATAACCAACCCAATCCCAACATTCAGCTAGTCAGTCAGTCGCTGGCTGCCATCCCCGAATACGAATACGAATGCGACTACGAATACGAAACCCATTTGATGCGATGTGGAGGAGATGGCTGTCAAAAGTTTGCGGCGGACGACACAAAACTGTCAGGCATTTTCGTGAATAATTTCCACAAAAATATGTGCGACGCAATGAAAATTGTCACGGCAAACAAATACAAATATGTAAAGCCCCTATCCATCCATCCATACATCCATCTGTTTGTCAGTGCGCAATGCATGCGGTAAATGTAAACATTTCAACAGATTTGACCAATACTACATATACCATAGCGAACTGGTGGGGATGGGTGGACATTGGGTGGGCAGAGGTGTGGGCCCTGCATTCAACAAGCAAGCCCCAGTGACCGATGAAACAAAACCAGCATTGCCTTGCGAGCTGCAAGGATGTCTATAAGATCAGCTAGAGCAAGAAGAAGTTTAAACAAAAAGACAGTTTAAGTGAATGGTTGATGAAAAAATAATCATAATCACTTAAGTAATAGTGAAAAAAGACTTGTAAAAGGGTTGTAATTGGCTAAGCCCAAGGATTAATGAATATCTAGAAAAAAAGGAACTAGGAATAAGAGATATTTGATTAATAATATTGTGTGTTGCTTAACTTATATAAAATACATTTTAATCAAATATTAACAGGGTATGGATAATGATAGTTAATTTCAGTTAAAAATAAAATAAAAGAAATTAAAATTTGTTTATTTTTTGTAACATGCTGTTTAAGTAACCGTGAATCATCTCAAGCTGATGGAGTTTAATGTGGAAACACTGAACAGTATTTGTGATCCCCAGTGGAAGGGTAAAAACATCGAAGCCCGCATTCGTCGACTGGTAATCAGCTTAATTCGTTCAATTCACTTTTGGGCAAATTGATTAACCAATTGATGTTTGTACATACCCAATACCCAATACCAATAGCCTATCGGCTATCCCTCGCAGTTCCCGATTCAATATTCGATGCCGGCCCGGCCCGGCTCGCCCACGCTCTTCCTTCTCCCGTTTGGTCAGTCGAAATTTATTAAAATTTCGTATGCATTTCGATTTGCTAACGAGTATTGTATTTATATATGTACTACATTCCAAATGAGTGTTAGTTGCTTTTCGGGAGGGGTGTGGATGGATGGATGGGGGGGTGGTTAGAGCTTGGCCAAAAGCCAAACCGGTTTCCCATTTGTCAACTTGTCGACCGACAGTCGAAAACGCTTCACAAACAACAATTCTCTTCAACAGAAACAGAAACAGTTAAAAGAAACAGCAGCTATAGAAGCTAAAGAAGAATCGATACGCACAGTGTCATATCCTAGAGTTTACAGAGTTTGTGTTGTGTTAACGTTACGAACGGTATTATCGACCTGAATTAGGATTGATAACTAAAGGTTTCCACTACTAATTTTTTCCATTCCAATTTTTTAATCATACTGACATCTCTTTCTTCCCCAATATATTTGCGTATAACCTTTGCCTTAACCTCTCCTTGACACCCTCCCACCATCCACAAATTATCCCCACATCCCAATCTGATCATTTGTTTGTTGTTTGTTTTTTATTGTTTAAAATTCATCACGAATTTTATTTTGTTGTGCGTTCTTTTTTGGCGTACATTTTGTTGTTTCTTTTTTGTACCATGTTTTTTTTTGTTAATTTTTTTTTCGTTTCGTGCGCGTTGTTTTCAACGTCGACGTCGCTGCTTTTCGGCTAACCTTGAAGCACATTAAATTTGTTCTTGGCTTTGCGTCTTTTTTTTGTATTTCTCTTTCTGGTGTTGTTGTCGCTGTAGCTGCTTATTTTTCAGCAATAATAAAAGTAAAAAGTAATAACAACAGCAGTTACTTGGAGTGAAAAGAAGAAGTGGGAATCTAACTATGTATGTGACCATATGTAATTCTTATGTGTGCGAACAGCGCCAAAATGAAGGAATTACAGTTGCGGTCACACTTATAGCTTCGCAGATTGTTTTCTACATTTATGAACAAAATTTTAATTTTCGTTATTTTACAGAAGTTTACTTGTTATTCGATTTTGAGAATTTTAAGATAATAAATGATTAATTTAAATTTTAGTTTTATATAAATCGGCAGACTACAGCGAAAAGCTGTCCCATGAAGATCAGAAAATGATAAGGAAAATCAGCAAACTTCCGTGTTTTTCAACATAAACGCACATAAATTTCATAAAATTCATAATCTCGAAATAATAACTTCTCAAGATATAGCAACATTTTACTTGAAACTTTTAAGTCGCTATTATATAAATATGCGATCCAAGTCAGAAAAAAACACAAAGGGATTTAAAAAGTTTCGAATCCGACTTTAAAACTGTGTTTCACTGTGTTTGTCTGGTCAAAGTGCTAGCTATCTGAACACATCTGTTTTGGGGATATTTCAATGGAGGCGCACTGGGCAGTGAAATACACAATGTTTGATGTGGGGTCGGTTTTTGCCTCTCCACTGTTCTCTTTCTCATGATTTTTGGTTTAATTGTCGAATTTTCGTTTCGTTTTATAATTCATTTCTTATTTCGTTTCTTTTTGTAGCTTTTCGGGCAGTTTTTAGCGTTCTATGTCTAGCATGTTTCGTCTAAATATCATTAGACGTTGTTATTGCTCCAAAAATTACTTAATTGCAGCCATATGTGAGACCGAATCCCCGGCTCCTTCCTAAGTTCCACGATTTTTGGCCAAACTGGAAATGTGTCGTCGTTGGTTTTGTATTCTGTATCTACGCATTTCTTGGCGGACGGTATCTGTGTCTTTGTATCTGAATGTGTGTATCTATTTCTAATTTATTTTTGCCAAAAAATAATGAGGCGACCCGCCGAAACGAACGCCAAGTTCTCTCTCTTTTTCTTTTCTGTTTTATGCGCTGTCGCTTTTATTTATTTATTTATGCGTTGGCTTTTATTTTTATTTTACTTTACTTTGCCGTTTTCTTGTTCTATTCTATAATTTTTTTGTTTGTATATGTTGATCAATAAATTACGTCCTGTTA